GGGAGGGCAGTGCCACTCCTGTACGGCTCACGCCGCCCCAGCAGCAGCAGCAGCAGGAGAGGACAGTGGAGGGGTGCAGCAGATCCTGATCCTATTCCCCCCCAGCGTCCCTCCCCGTCCTGCTGTGACGTGGCAGGCAGACAGGGAGCAGCTGGCACTGCCACCTGGCCACCAACAGCTGGCACAGAATTGATCAGAGAGTCACAGATGGGCTTGGTTGGAAGGGACTTTGAACCTCATCTCTTCCCAGCCCTCTGTCATGGGCAGGGCCACCTTCCACCAGACCAGGCTGCTCCACGCCCTGTCCAATCTGGCCTTGAGCACTGCTCCTGGTGAACGTGCCACCATCAGGGTCTTTTCTTAAGAAAAATGAAAGCTTTTTTAAAAAAGTACAGATTATCTGTTACTCAGAAACAAGCAGGACAGTCTGGCATGCAGTTTTTGAAGCGGGCATCTGCTCAGGAGGGTTGATCTTCTGTGTGACATAAGGTGGGGGCACTTCTTGGTGGCTTTGCTGTGTGCTGAGGAGAATGTGCCAGCCAGGGCCTTGAGGAGGATGTGCCAGCCAGGGCCTTGCTGCTGCCTGCAGAGTAGCTCCAGACATCCTTTTTAATGCTCCGTTCCCTACAAGCAGGAGCAGGAACTTCTGGGAAGCCTTTGCGAGCCGCTCCTGTCCTGCCTGCACCAGAGCTGGTGTTTGGGTTGTCTGAGCACCATGCCACCTGGCTGTCCAGGTGCCACCTGGCCTGTCCCTGCATCCCCAAAACCTACTGTTGGCTCTGTCAGGATTGCAATAACATGTTTTGTCCTGATTTTTACTGCATGCTTGGCATTGTAGGACTTTGCTCTGGAACACCCAGAGGACACTTCCTGGACCTCGCTGCGTGCTGTGGCTGCTGTCATGGCCAAGGTGCTCCTTCCATCACCCTCCTCTCTGGGATCCAGGCAGCTCCTGGCATCTCAGCAGTCTCCCTTCAACTGTTCGGGCTGAATGACCATTAATGTTCAGCAATGTGTAGAGAAATCCCTGAGGCTCGCGAGGCCCTGGGGATGCCTCATCCCAGTCCTTTCCCAGCATTCAGCTTGGAGCCAGCCTCTTGTCCGCTGGCAGGAGCTCCTGTCTGGGAGGGAAGGGCAGCACCTGGCCCAGGGCCGGGCGGGGGGCACGGGGGCACGGCCAGAGCTGCTCCTGGCCTTTTTTGGGAGAGCCGGGACGGGCTGGGCGCGGCGCCGCGGTGCGGGACGGCTCCTCCGGCCCACATTCCTTGCTAATTTTAACCCGCTCCCCAGAGAGGCCTGCAGAAGTATGGTCTTGATTTATTAGTCCTGTCCTTCTGACAACTGTGTTCAGGCGCCTCGAGGCAGAGGTAAAACCAGACTGGGATTCTCAGTCTGGATCCTGCCAGATGTTTGTCTGCATCACCAGGAGCTGCGGGGCTCTCTCAGCATCAGCACTTTTGTCCCTGAGGTGGTGGGAAGGATGGCAGCCACAAGGCACCGGGGCTGCTGAGGCCGAGGAGCCGCCCGGGAGACAGGGCTGGCCTGGAGACTCCCACGGGTGCCAGAAGGGACAGGGGACAGGCTGCTCCTGCAGCAAAGACAGCAAAGCCCTGTGCTCCCCCTGGGACACGAAAGGCTGGGTTTAGGCACGAGGAAACGCAAGGTTCAGCTGATGGCAGAACCAGTTCCTAGGGACTCTGCTGTGTCTGTGCTGTTGGGTATTTACCAGCACTTGCCAGGTAAATCTCTCAGAGCGGGTCCTGGCCTGGGAGGGAAGCACAGTCTGGGAGCCTGAGGTGCTGCCCGACCCTGCAGCAGCAGCTGGAGCCCCTGAGCGCCCAGTGCCACGCA